GTTGTTTTTTTTTTTTTTTTTTTTTTTTTTTTGCCATTGTTGTTTCCAATCCTTCACACCAAGCTACACGGCGTGTGCATAGTGTCTATGCTGCAGTACATCCTGCTGCATGGATCTGCTCTCTAGAGTGAATCTCCATTTGACAGCATGATGGATGGATGGATGCACAAGCTGACCTTTTACCAGAACACTACAGAGAGTGACTGACTGAATATCAGAAGCATGTAGGATAAAAACAAGGTTAATGTTTTTTTGTTTTTTTTAAGGTAGGAACAAGGTCAGTTGAGTCGGTGAAAACGACGGCCTCCTTTGCAATATTCGCAGATATTCATTTTTACACCGCCTTCAACCGATACATCTCTTTTAAAACATTTACACCATCGAACAATATCCTGCATTATATTTCACTCGTTCATTCCATCAGCGGGCCAACCTGGAAGGAAACAGTGCCCCACTAGGGGTAACGCCCCCTACTTTGAGAAACTTAGCTGTAGGTGATCACAGTGGCAATAGCGCCCCTGTTTACAGCATGTCGTGGAAAGTTATTTGGATCGGACGACTTTTTTTTTTTTTTTTTTTTTCAATGTTCAATCTTTTTGAGATCATATGGAGATAAGCGGATGAAAGAACTAGAAAAAATAAAACATTTCCAGTGGTTTCCTGAACTCAATGTTCATTGGTAATTTTGACATCCTTGCAATAGCATTGGTTAAGCAGTGATCTGTGATCGTCTTTACAAAATATATCATGAAGCGATCGAATGGATTTGTTCTTTATCCTGGGTGAGAACTTTAACAAAGAGATCCCATTTTTATAGTGAACTCCGAAACTAGACTAAACTCAGTTGACAACAACAGAATAAAACAAGGTTGAACTCCATGCATTTTCGTTTCCATGGCAGGTCAGGCATCAGGATCCGAGTGTGAGTGGAATAACGTGTTCAGCATGTGGCCTCTGACCTTTAAACCCACAAGTTAATGTATACCATCCTCTCCTTCTTCAATCAAGTTCGAGCTGGAGACCTGGCAATGTGCCGGGGGGGGGTCAATTTTTGCTCAGAGCTACGTCAGGTCAGGCGGGTTCACCAAACCAGAAGACATATTGATAATTTCTTAAACAAATCATTGTCTCCACCCACAGTTTTCAAGGGTTTGTTTTCAGTCCTTCAATCTGTGTCCATTGTTACTATTTGGCATGTCTGCCACTGATAAACTATTAAAAGAAAAAAAAAAACAAAACGAGAACAATGTGACTCAACTTCTATCATTTCTAGCAAATCTTCCCTTGACTGAATTCAAAGCCCTGTTTAACATCATACCTAATGATGTTTTCCTATTTAGAAAGGGCAACAAAGGGGGCCTTTTGTTGTGGGTTTGCTGTGTACATCTGTTTAACAGCTTAAACAACTAGGTGCATTACACAACACTGATGATAATTCAGTTCAGAAACTCTTGTTTAAATAAATAAAAAAAAAACCTGGTCTTCAGAGACGATGAAACCACAACAGAGAAGGGGGATCAATGACACAGTGTCATTACGGCAACGCGGCAACATTTAAATCTGTGGGTCATTTAGTATCCGTGCTGTGGCAACCGCACTAAAATAATTGATAATTGACTTCATTTAAAGATAATCGGGATTTTTTTTTTTTTTTTTTGGTTCAATGGACAATCATCATGCTCGTCAAAAATAGCTTATAGTTTAGTTAAGACAAGACATCGTCAAGACATTGAGAATTCCCAACATTACTTCTTACAATAGCTATTTCTTAACCAGGCGTCTCAAATTATTATTGCAATTATTATTATTATTATTATTATTAGACATCTAGTCGCGGGCCAGATGTTAGGGGTTTGTGGGCTGGAAGTGGGCCCTGGGCCATGAGTTTAAGACCACTGCTCTAAACGGTAGCTGGCTATCAAACTAACACACTCACTACTCAAGTATTCTTAAAGTCTTTCTTTATACTATGAACCACAGTACTATTGCACTTACTGGCAGATTCCTTGAATCCTTTGGCAGAGTGAACTATCACATGCAAAAATCCGTACAAGCCAGGAGTCTCCTCATCTGGAAAACAAGCACAGAAACGCCAGTATGAGTCAGTAATGTGTAAAACATCGGAAACTGCATGAAGAACTGTAGCAGACAAAAGTGACAAAATGACAGTATTTTCCACTAACTTGCTCTTATTAATTTGCGGGATGTTTGCATAGAAAGTAACTCATGTAGCAGCAACATGGTCCAAAGAATATAGTCAGATAAACAGCCATGGAGAACCAGGTGAAAATGGTGAAAGTACGTAATTGTGCGTTGTTGTGAGAGATCACCAAAATGGAGAAATAGAGAAAAACACAACTCTGGACCATTGAGTTTAATGTCATCACAAATGTTAACATTTTTGGACTTTTAAAAAAAAAAAAAAATAAGTGGAGAAAATGCAACTTTAAAAGTCCAAAAAGAAAGACCGGAGCGGGGAAAAAAAGGTGACCTTAAATGTATAAAGTAAAAGCTACAGGACAATATTGTTTATGTTATATATTTATACTAGGTATTGTTTCAGTTACGGCTACAGGTATTAGCTGTTTGGGGTTCCAGCGGGCATTCAAATACAATGGCATGGGTCATGGGTCATGGGTCATGGGGCATGGGTCATGGGGCATGGGGCATGGTGTGTTACGGGGCAGTGGTGGCATAGTGGTTAAGGAAGCGGACTGTGGTCTGGAAGGTTTCAGGTTCGAGTCCACCAAGCTGCCAAGTTGCCTACTGTGGTGATGGGTCAAAAGCAAACGTCACATTTCGCTGTGTGTGCATTCATTTAATCCTTCAGGATTCAATGAATCACTGGAGAAATACTACAGTTTTAGAACATTTTAAAATGCAGAGTTTATTAATCTTCTACCATTTATTCCTGTTCACGATCACCGGGTGGCTGTTACCGATCCAAGAAGTCAACGAGCGAACATTGGGTGCACTGGTATGTTCATATATGTATATATATATACATATATATA